TGGTGGCATGGGGGTAGGTAGTACCATTCTTATGCGGGCCTGGTTCTGGGGTTCATTCTTATTGTTTAACCTACAGCACAAAATAATAAATGGTCAAAGGTTGGGGGAGAAGGTTAAAAACAAAATTGCCTAAAGCAAAACTGAGCAAGCCACTAAACGTCTCATCTACTAGTTCCCCTCTTCACTGGCGCCATGCTCCAGAGGAATCTCATGACTGATGAGACATCATGAAGCACAGTCTATGGCAGGACTGGATGTGAGGGGGGGAATAAAGGAAAAGGGGGTGCAGGCAGTGCACCAAATGCCCCTCTTTGTGGGTAGTTAGCATAAGCCTCAACTAAGGGTTGCATAAGGCAATCAAAGCACGCTCCTCCTCTAAATTAGAAGTGACTTCCTTGAGCCTGCTCTCTATTGGTGACCCCCTTGGAGACTCTACTTTGAGGGATGTGTGTGTTAGATCTCCTCTTTTCTCCCCAAGAGGGTACTAGCAACACACACACAGTTGAGTCAGTTCATTTAGCTCTTTCTTCTTGAAGACCGTGCACTCTGCTGATTAGAAACCACCTTCCTGGCTAGGAAGCAGCATGTAAATTCCTTGATTACGTGATCCATCTTATAGCTGGAGACTTGCTGCATGAATAATTCCTGGATTGTGACAGGCTAAAAGAAGGCGGGGGAGTGGGGGGAGTATCATGGGGAAGGAACATAGCACATTCTCAAATAGAATCAGATCATCTGTCAGGTCATTGTGTTCAGGGAGATGTTAGAGCAAACCTGTGGGGGTGTTTTTGAAGAATATTGGGAGTACTGACCATGGGTAGATCCAACCGGAATGCAGAGCTCCTCTGTGGTTGACATTCTACAAATGCTGAGGATGAGATGGCTGCTGGCTCCAACATTAACATTCTAGGAAAAGCAAAGCCAATCGGTCTAGAAAGTAGCTGTGTGTGAAGAAAGCAAACTGCTCATGCATGTTCTTAGTGGTTAGGATGAAATTGCATGTTGAATCTAAATACCAGGGTATAACGTCTGACCTCACTGAAGTCAGTAGGAGTTTTGCTATTGATTTTTGTGAAGCCAACATTTCACCCTAGAGATTTAACAGTTAACTGACCTTTGGTCTGAGAGTTCGTACATCGCTTTTGGACCAAGAGCAATAAATCTGAGCTATGGCAAGGGACCAGTGGGAATTGCACGATGCAATATCTAGGAAACGGCTAGGATTTTTAGATTTCCATTGGCACATCATATTCATTTCTAGTCTTGGCAGCTAGCCAGCTTCTCGGCCTTAATTTTTCATTGTTCTAAATGCCATTTTTCTTCTCCAATTTGGACATTTTTTTCATAGCTGCTGTTGTGAACCTTTTTTTAGAAATTGATGCTTTTACTGGTAGAAGACATCTTGATATCACAGCTTTTAAATGCTGGAAGTCATTAATCCCTAACTACAGCAGTTTGTGAAATGACAGCTGCTAACATCATATTATAATTAAAATGTGTGGGGGATGGAAGGAGGGGAGAGGGACAAGATGTTTTTTAAAAAGATGAGGTTTAAAGTCCAGTACATTTCTGCTTCTCCTGATTAGAAACTCATTGGTCATATGAAATCTCTCAGGATCTATAACATTTTTCAAGAAAGTTTTAAAAAAATCTAGTATACAGATTACAAAACTGAGTTCTCTTTCAAGATATGGACTCGAAAACTATTGCCATTATGCTCTGATTAAGGCCTGTCATCCATATTAGTCTTCCAAGCGGTCAGTCATCCCAATATTGTATATTCACATCATTACAGAAATCACTTTACTGCACTGCCTGGAATTCCTCTGCAGCCCTTCAACTGAAAAATCCATGCAGTACTTTGTTTAATGACAATATATTTCAGTTTTCAGCACACTGTTCGGCTTACAAGTTGTAGTGGAGACTACAAGCAGATTTTAATGTCGTCTTTAGTGGTTTGAAAATCTAAGCACCACTCCATTTTCTTTCTCTGATTTGTTGTTTTGTTTTAAATGTCATACTCAAATATTCAGAAAAACATCAGAAACTTATCTCTTTTTTGGTTATTATTCCCACTCAATTGGTAGTACAGTCCTTCATTTGTAAATGAGAAGCCCCTGTGTTATGTATCTAAATATTTCTTTCTTTGGGGCCTCATTAGTGAAATTCACTGAGTGCAGACGAAGAGGTCACGGAATTCTCACTCTAAACCTCTTCTGAAAGGTTGGAAGGACAATTCCCTAGAGTTGAACTTCTACTCACCATGATGTGTAGCTCCAACTTTTAGGAAAGCAATTGGAGATAGACTGGTGGAGGAGGTGCCTTGTTGAAATCTAGTGTCCCTACATATGGTAGGGGTGTGAAGATAGAGTAGCTGATATTGTAGGCTGTAGGTTTGATTAGTGACTGTGGAAGATGACCTGTCCTCGGTTTGAAATCTGAGTGAATTTCATTCAGCCCACTCCCTGCTTATTTGTCTTAGTTCTCAGTCCTTCTGTCCATTTATTCAGGCTTTGTGCAAGAATGCAGTGATATGCAGAAAACACATGGGATACACCGAAGTAACTATATGATGCAATATATGGCATCTTGTCTGATCATTTTTATCTTTAGTTAAGCCAGCAGGTTTTTTTAAACTGAACTACACCAGTAACTTCTTTGCACAGTTCTTTCTATGTAGACTTTCAAAATGCTTAATATTATTATAGATGTGGTCATAATAATAGTAATGATAATACTCTTAGACATTTACAAATAGCCATACACTGCTATTAGCAAATAATTAGTATATACATTAGAAGTATGTAAAGCCCCAAAATAGTTCTATGATCACCGATCATTACTTTCAATACTCCAGTACTGGCATGCGTATTAGTCAGCAGCATTCTATTATATAAATTACTGAAGTTTTGTAGGCTCTTAAACTTAAAAATCTCTATTTTAGAAAAATAAGTTTCACAGCAGCAGGCAGATACTTACTGTGAGACTGTCATGCCATTCATGTATTTATAAATAAAATGTTACCTGATAATAGTAGTCCATCATGATTGGTTAAATCAATAGCACACTTTTAATTTATGATTATGGAGTTACCCACAAGTGTGTACACACCATGAGCCGCAATTTCCATTTGCTGGCCACAAAGCAGACTCTTGGTTTATCTGGACATCCAACTGCAATTAGCACCATGTGGGAATGGCAAGGCCTCCATGTCACTCATGGTTATAGTGAATTATTTATAAGTATCGCTAAAAATGTGCTTTTGTCCTGGTGCACAATCTGTATGTATCTTTGTGTTTTGATTATAACTGTTCAACAATGGTCATTTATATTCTCTGCTTTGTGGTTGCAGTTCTTTTTTCTGAGAAGTAAGAAGTTAGTGTTTGTTTTCCAGGATATGTCCTCTCCTTTACTCCTCCTTGTAGGCAATGCACTTCTGGGATCTTCCTTTTGGCGAAGAGGGCTCAAAACAGTTCTCATTCAGTGGCCCAAGTTCCCAAAAAGCTGAATTTGCTGCCTCTAGTGTCTGAGCAGATGCAGGTTGGATGTGGGTACAAGTCCTATCAGCATCCCTTACTGAAGAGTTGTTAGGTGCCTTATTGAGGAATCATTTATTGGCATGGACAGACTCGCTAATTATTGTGTAGCCCCTTTCCATATAGAAAAGTATTCGTTTATGGGCGAAATGTTCAGCTAAGCTGTGATAAAGCCACCCCTATAGTGTTTGGAGTCCTACTGGGATACAGATCAGCTGCCTGTGCTGCTTCTTTTAGGTCTGTCATCAGTCTTTGTTACTGCTGGCTCCTCGACAGAAATAAACAGAGCTGTTCTTGAATGATTCCTTTCTCTTAGATCTCAGGGGATAGTATAGGGTGAGCAGTGGTACGTTGGCCAAAGGGCTCTTGCGTGCGGAATTCCACATGATTCTAGTATGTTAACCCTTCCTATTTGAGGTGTTGTGGGGCCGTTAAGGGAGGTGATGTTATCTTTGTAATATTCAGTGTGTGGATGCCAACGCTGCATCTCCATCAGTGGGATCCAAGTGTTGTGGTAAGGCAATTTACCTAGTGCCGAGCTGGGTTTGTTTTGTGGCTGAAAGCGGGATGGCTGAGAGTAAAGCAGGATTAGGCGCACAGGTAACAGTTCTTGTCTTGAGCAAAAGAGCCAGAAGAAATAACAGATTGTTTTAGTTTCTTGCATCTCGATTACTCCTCCACATCCTCTTCTCTGGCCTGGACAAGAGCAGCCTTCCAGCAAGCACTTTTGTACTTTCTCCCATATTGCCTGGGAAGAGCCCCCCATAAACCTCTGCAGAGCTATCTCATTAACCCATTTCAGAGCCGTCTTTAAAATTCTCCTCTGCTGTGGTGCCCACATGCTGAGACCACCACCTGTCGTGCCAACCACTATTGTCTCATTTCCTTGTACTCCTCTGTCCATATCCATCTGTTGTCGTATTGCAAAAAGTATGTAGTAATATGCTGCCTGTGATTCTTTCAAGTGCAACAACCTGTATGTGCAGTGAAACCTGGCCCCTGGGCAGGCAGGGCATTTACTGCAGTATGCACATAACCAAAGCCCTTTCCTCTCTTTTATGTGACCCCTGTCTCTTGTACTGTTCACTGGTCTCATTTCACTCCGGTTGTTGTCATTGTCAGATGAAGTCTCTGCTGAAGTTTATTTTGCTCATTTGAAGAAGAGTTTCAGCAAAAGCAATTAGATTCAGCTAACATTTATTCTGGCAAGATTACAAATATGGCAGTGTTATTCAAGTGCTTCTTTCTATTCTTTATGAATTATTTAGGATGCTTTACTAATGTTGAAATCTATCTGTGTGTGTGTGTGTGAGAGAGAGAGAGATTTAACAAAGGCATAGCCAACCCTTGTTTTTAAATGTTTCTCTTGATACCTTACGTTTCTGGACTTTCAAAGGGATATTTTTCCAGTAGGCAGTTTCAGTAGATGGTATCAGCTTATTAATTTGTTTTATTGTTTCACAGAAGGAAGACTTTCCCAGCACATCTGTCTAATCTGTCCAGCAATTTAACCAGCCAATCAAGAGCTACTTAGGTAAGTTAGCTGTTTGTGAACTAACAATGATAACATACAAACAGTTGCAAATATAATGTTAAGGGCTTTTTGTTTTATATAGAATTTTAAGCTGATGGTTTGACATATCACCTTTTGTTCTTGAATAATATACTGTATATTAGCTAATCTGTGCTTGGGTTCATAACGATTGTATTGTTTGGAGGCTCTATGTAGAACTGAATGAAAGGATCAGTGAATTGCGATAGAGACGGGTAGCATGTTGTCTGGACCAAGATCAGACCAAGCTTAATAAAAGTGTCAATAGCTTGAACTGCACTGGGAAGTGAATAGGTAGCTATTGCAGATGTTGTATATTCCCTGTGGTTGACATTCATGAGCATTTGAGCAACTGCATTCTGCAGCAGCAGAATTTAGAGTAGCTGACAGGGTCAGACTTGAGGAAATCTCCTGGCAATAGTCAAAAGGTGGTGATGGTGTGGATGACCACTTTGGAGAGAGGGGTTTAATTATGTAGCAGACGGAATACCTGTGCTGTCTGTGAAGTCATTGAGGAATGAAAAGCCTGCTATTTGCAAACCTCCGTAACAAAGGCAGGGCATAACCCATTAATAAATAGGAGTGCAAACAGCGAGGGTACCCCTCCAGCTTTCTTTCTGTTTGTACTGACCTGGGTAACTGCCTCATGAAAGCAGAGCTAACAAAGGCCCAACAAAATCTGTAGTTCAGGTGATAGAAATGTAGCCGTGTTAGTCTGGGGTAGTTGAAGCAAAATGCAGGACAATGTAGCACTTTAAAGACTAACAAGATGGTTTATTAGATGATGAGCTTTCGTGGGCCAGACCCACTTCCTCAGATCAAATAGTGGGAAGAAAGCAGTCACAACCTTATATACCAAAGGATACAATTAAAAAAAATGAACAAATATGAAAAGGACAAATCACATTGTGTGTTTGACTTTATTAGCTACTGACCCCACAGGGAACAGTGTGGATTTAAGATTGGTAGAATCTTGAGCCACCAGGATGAGAAATCTATGGAACTGATAATACATGTTTTTTACGTGGCCTATGTCGGGAAGAACTCTGATTGCATAGTCTCTGTCTGTTGCAACGGGAACTGAGATTTTAAGCACCCAGGGCAATCCATTTGGTTTGCTGTGACCTTATCTCACAACAGCATAACTCAACCTGCTCAGACCCCTTTCAATATCAGTTGTAGGGGAACAGCTGCCTGCCCATGTAAAGACTCCCAGGACAAAGTGTAAATCCCATTTATTACCTCTAAGTGTCCCCAGCCAGGGAGAGAAGCAATCCAGTCTATTAAAAATAATCAGCCACCTTTCCTAATAGTTCCCAAACCATACCACACTTTGGGTGTGTCTAAACTACACTCCTCCGCTGACAGAGGGATGTAGATTAGGCACATCACTGTTGCAAATGAAGCGGGGATTTAAATATCCCGCTCTTCATTTGAATAAAAATGGCCACCGCTTTTTGCCGATGCGGCACTTTGCCAGCAAAAAGCGACAGTCTACATGGGGATCGTTCAACAAAGAAAGCCTTTTCTGACCAATCCCTTATGCCTCGTGCAATGGTCGAAAAGGCTTTCCTTGTTGACCGATCCCCCATTTAGACTGCCGCTTTTCTGGCAAAGTGTCACGTCGGCAAAAAGCGGCAGCCATTTTTATTCAAATGAAGAGCGGGATATTTAAATCCCCGCTTCATTTGCAATAGCGATGTGTCTAATCTACATCCGTCTGTTGGCAGAGGGGTGTAGTTTAGACACACCCTTTGAGTGGCCAGATGCCACGTTAATCCAACCCACGCATGGAAATCATGTAGCTTTGTCCTGATTAATCTAGTACAATTAGGAGAAGGCCTTAGTATTACCCTCTCCCTCACCCCCCACTCTTCTCACACTCAAAACACACTCACCCTCAGGAGAGATGCACTCCACCTAAACATTGTAGAATGGACTGATTTGTACCATCAGAACCCTGGTATGAATTGACCCACTTCCATTGGCGCCTAACCAGCCCAACAAATCTCTGACCCCTTCCGTGGGCGTGATGGTCTTAAATATGGATTCTGCCACCCCATTCTGTGCTGGAGTGTCTATACAAAGCTGGGAACTCTAGAAAAGGCCCATTGAAGGATGGAAGCCAATGGAATAAGACTCCCTTCCCACATCCACTAAATTGTTGGCCATACAAGTATGCCAGTGCTAAACAAGACCAAACCCCTCTCATTTCTCAACCCTTATCTCTTCCTCTTTTCCACCCATCCGCTCGGAGTCGTTCAAGTGATACTCTGCAGCTAAATCCCGTATGGGGAGGGGTTGAAGAAAAATATCCCTTTCCTGAAAATACTCGTGGGGCTGTGGTGCTTTGGGTGCAACCAATTATTGTTCTCACAGAAATTGTGGTTGGTTGAATTACTCCCAAGAGATACAGTAGCGAGCAATGGCCAGTCACTGTGGAACAGCAGCCTAAGTCTTTCTTTGAATTCGGTAGGTTCTGAAGAAATGCTACACTATGAGATTATTGCAAAATAAGTTATTTCAAAATAATAACTCCCCAAATAACTATTTTGAAAAAGGCATTATTCCTCATCACAAGCAGGGATTATTATTTCAAAATAACAAGCCCATTATTTTGAAATAATTTTGAAATAACTGGCTTGCTGTGTGGATGCTCACCTGGTTAATTCGAAATAAGGGGAGTTAGTTCAAAATAACTCCCTAGTGTAGACAGGCTCCCATATGACTGGCAGCGAATGAGGCTTGTGGTATCTAGTGGAACAGCAAACTTGACTGTTGTTTATTGTTTAAATAATAGAAGGGCAGTACTGCTTGCTGAATACCTATGTACTATTCTTCATCTTTAGTCAGTAGAAAAAACACAGCTCCAGCCTCTCTATCCAGATTTCTTCTCAGGATCACTGGTGTTGTATGTGACTGATTTTGCTGTAGCATTTGGAAGTTTAGAAAAATGCACGGATGCCTAGGGACACTAGAACAATAGGGGTTATTTTAATAAGAAAAAAACATGTTGATTGACATTTCAAGGGAAATATAAACATTGGATTCACATCCTTCTTAGCACTTAGGTTTTCCAGTGTGATTGTGCTGCATTTCAGAGTATTGTAATATTGTAACATTTTGAATCATGTGGGACTTTGCATTTGGATGAGTGTCTAATAAGTAACGGTTATTAAATGTTGATTTCAGTATTTCAAACGGCAATGTTAAGACTTAATCTCTAGCAGTGGGTTGCAGTTTCTCCTACCCAAATGACAAGCAATAGCAGCTACTATATCAGTCCCTACTACTACTACTATTATAATTTGCTTCCAGTAACACCCACAGTGTACTCTTGCTCAATGAACAATTAGCTAGTCATGATCCTTACCCTGATGAGCCTGAAATCTAATTAGACTTATTCAAGATCACACAGCAAATCCACATGATAGAACAAGTTAAAAATAGAAGAGTCCAAACGACCTGTAGTTCTCTTCTAATCACTACACCTCCCTTCCCTTCCCCCCACTATATCACATTGCTTTAAATAACATCCACTTACAATTTCTATTCCTTTTCTGGTACCTACTTCTGATATTCCCAGAATTATTTGGTTTTCGTGTGAATCCACAGCACTATGAATAACACTTTCAGAAGTACCTTCATAAATTTAAGTTTTGTTGGCTTTCGATTTTCCTCATGTAGGCATTTCACTGTGACTGTTTGGAAATAAAAAAGAAATGGGTTTTTCCCCTCATCTGGTAAACATTTGTCAGACTTTCGCTCTTTGTCCTCTGAAGACCATAACAGTATAATAATTGAATAGGCTAGATGTATCTGCATAATCTCTGAGGGTATGTCTACACTACAAAGGTAATTCGAACTAACAGCCGTTAGTTCAAATTAACTTTAATAGCGGCTATACATACAAACCGCTATTTCGAAGCTAAATCGAACTAGCAGAGTGCTTAATTCGAACTAGGTAAACCTCATTCTACGGGGAGTAACGTCTAGTTTGAATTAAGGGCTGTGTAGCCACTTAATTCAAACTAGTTGGAGGCTAGCCCTTCCTAGGTTGCCCTGGTGTCCACTCTGGGCCAAACCAGGGAAACTTTTCTGCCCCCCTCCCGGCCCCAGAGCCCTTAAAGGGGCACGGTCTGGCTACAGTGCTCGTGCCAGTTGCAAGCCTGCCAGCACCCAGCCAGCAGACCCTGCATCTGGCACGGCATGAGCTAGCCACCCGCTGCCACCCAGCCCTCCGCCTCTTCATAGGGCCAGGCTGGCGGCTACCAAGAGCCTGACTGGGGCTGCAAGAGTCGGGCGCCCGTCTGGTCTAGTGCAGAGATCGTGGACCTCATTGAGGTTTGGGGGGAGGCCTCCAACGTCCACGACCTCCGCTCTAGGCACAGGAATGCGGCTGTCTAGAGCAGGATAACTGCCAGCCTGGCCACCAAAGGCCACATGCTAACCCAGGAGCAGGTTTGCATAAAAATCAAGTTGGTCCAGTGAGACCCCCACCCCTGAGCTAAGAACATAAGAATGGCCAAAGGTCCATCCAGCCCAGTAGCTTGTCTGCCGACAGCGGCCACCACCAGGTACCCTGGAGGGGATGGACCAAAGACAATGACCAAGCGATTTGTCTCGTGCCATCCATCTCCAACCTTCCACAAACAGAGGCCAGGGACACCTTTCTTACCCCCTGGCGAATAGTACTCCATGGACCCAACCTGTTATAGTTCTAGCCTTCACAGCCTCCTGTGGCAAAGAGTTCCACAGATTGACTATGTGCTGTGTGAAGAAGAACTTTCTTTTATTAGTTTTAAACCTGCTGTCCATTAATTTCATTTGGTGTCCTCTAGCCCTTATATTTTGGGAACTAATGAAGAACTTTTCTTTATTCACCCCGTCCACACCACTCGTGATTTTATAGACCTCTATCAAATCCCACCTCAGTCTCCTCTTTTCTAAGCTGAAAAGTCCCAGTCTCTTTAGCCTCTCTT